CTTCGCCGGGTGTATCAAGTGTGACGGTCTAGGGGGGCAGCTGGGTTCGCAGGGGGATATAAGTGGACGGTGAGGGCCAGTCGAACTGGGAATGAAAATGTTCGGCCTATCGGTCCGAGCGTCTCTGTAAGTTGGCAATCGACGAACCATCCGCCTCGCATATATAGTCTCACTGACACCAGGCTTTCTGTGTCTAGTGGATCGAATGAGCTGGAAGAGCTTGCGAGTATTGCCAGCGAGGACAGCGGCCTCCATTTCCGAAGCATGCTGAGATCACCAGACTTTACCTTCACTGCGTAGGCTTTGTTTGAGTTGCCGACGCACTTAATCGTGGTTAGACTCTGCCGGGATATTTCTGCGACAGTCAAATAAATCCAAAGAGCATGTGGAGATCCAGGCCTTCATAGGGTGCTGTGTACGACCTCAGACTTGCTGTCTGGAAGTGATCATGGTCCTGTGCATGCACGTCCAGTGTTCAGCGATATCTTGCGGTGGGTCGCAGCCGAGTACACCAGCCCGGGAAGCTTGATAACTCTGCTGAGCAAAAACAGTAGATAGTTTGTGTCTATCTTATAGCGCTTCATTTTCGGGGACCCTCCGAAACTCATGCAAATCTTCGCACAGACAAGAGCATGGTCTGAGTCAAGCAAAGTGGATCAGATGGATCTGCAATCCTTTACACTTCCCCTCCATCTGAAACTGGTTGCGATTTGATCAATCTGGGTCCATGATCGAGACGCAGAAGGGGGTTGCCAAGTAGCGGAACGTTTCCTCGAATACCGAAATTTGATGTTTGTGGTAGTGACATGTCATTTTCCATGGCTTGCCGTACAACCTTCCCGTGGGGCCATCTGGGCGGCTCGGGAATTTCTCTTCCCGGCGAATGATTTGACGGCTGTGTTCCAAGATGTGGTAGGTTTTCGCTTGGCACGCGTTCTCCTTATAAAAAGCTACAGATGTCTGCCTATTAACACCGGGGTGTGACCGCCACCAAACAAAGTCGCTACTCCTTTATTTCATCGGAGACATTGTACACCGGCAAGGAACCTGAGAATCGAATTCTACCTCTGACTTCTGGAGTGCTGGGCCCTTGGTATGACTATTCGGCATCCGAAAGGCATATGAGCTGGAGGTTTAGCCATCGGCTCCCAACGGGTGCGAAACCTTTATCTCCCCATGCTGCCTTGTTGGTTACGCCCTGTAGACAAGGGCTCGGGGCCGTGGTCTCCTAAGCCAACTTACGTACTCCGGCTTAGGCAGCCGGGTAGTATTTCGCCTACTGACGAACCATGGAATTACAACTACGTTCACTCTCATTCTAATGAGTGTGCGCCATCATTTTACCTAAGGACGGTGGCTATGGAAGTAGGAATTTGTTACAGAGTATGTAACACCTACCGAATCAACCATCCTGAAAATGGATGTCACAGGAGTATTGGACCTATACCGCACCCTCACAGCAAGCTGAGTCGATGGCGTGTGGCGTGGGTTAATACCCGAGACTCAGACAAGCAATTTTGGTGACGAGTAGGAGCGTCATCGTGATAAACGGGAAGGTCCGAACGTAAGTCTGAGCGAAGCCGCCACTGCTGTAGATCTTGTTAACAGTAAAAATATCTTTGGCATATGTAAAACTCCTTTGCGTCTGTAAAAGACTAAAAATGTTTGTTTTCTTTTGCTATCGTATGTCGATTTTTTCTTTCTTTTCTACCATGGTTTTGATGGCGCGTTGTCTATAACCTGACGATATATATAAATATGTGTATATATATATTCGCCCCATGCTGAGGCAGATGTTGCATTCTTGATGCTTCTTCACCGCAGTTGGGCTAAACAACTTACACTTAAATTGGGTCTTTTTAAGCTGGATAAATTTCATTCCACTTTGGTTTTTCTGCCTACCTGAATAATCTTCTATTAACTGGCCACGTTGCTTACGCTAATTGCGCTTATCTTCGGTAACTTTGTTGCGTTTGTAGCATTTTTAAGTACCTTGTGGACATTGGTTGCTAACCAACTTACTTCATATGGTAATGAAGCGAAGAGTTATGCCACCGTATCTGTATGCATTATTCGATTTATTTTCTTTCATCTTGTCGTTTCAAGTGATTGGCTGTTGCTTGATATCCCCGGTGTGGGCGCGCTTGATGTTCATGTTGACAAGGTGCCTACCTGTCTATTACCCACTACCTCGTCCATACTGGCTCCAGGAGACAGTTGGTCGTTGCTGAAGGGGACGGGGTGCACGGTCCTTGTGGCCGTTCTAGGCTCAAAGAGCGGTTCCATGCACTCAGTGTGGAGCGGACTACGGTGCAGGTACTGCCTTGTGTGCGCTTGATTCCCAAAATACAGTGTGCTTGTGTTTGCCTGTGAAGGAGTGTGGGCCGGCTCTGTTGATGAAACGTGGCTAACATCCACATGCCTTCGGGCCTTCTTCCTTTTGGTTTACGCTTGATATGAGGTGGGTGGTTGGAGCTGTGGGTGGTGCAGCGCAAGCCACGTATGGTCACTCTGTAAGCGCAGGCGTCCTGTGGCTTGCCACAGTGACAGGCAAATCCGAAACCAGATACCGCCAACCATATGAAGTAATACGTGTCGTGGTCATGTGCATTTATTCCAGCACGAATGTGTCAGTCACTGATCAATACAAAATGGTTAAGGTAATATAATCAGACATTCACAGGAGACCGTTTCATCTGCTCGCAAGTCATCCCATATTGCAAAGCAGTGTTGTAGCATACTATAAGGCTCACACAGATGTAGTATTCAAAACGCAGAACTTTACAACCGAGCGCCTGAAATTTCCATCGTCAATCTCCTTTACAAAAACGTCACTGTGCGGGAGCCAAATCATACCGATTAATTCATCCACGAGACTTTTATGTGTATGCTTCACCGTTCTTTGCATTTGACGCCTGTACAAACGAGCAGCTAAACCGATTTTGTTTGAAGTGCCGTCGTGTCAGTGGATTGGACTGCCTTTCACTTTGGAGTGAACTTCAGCTGGGATCCCCTGTCAAATAGGTTTTATTTTCTAATTTGCATACACTTAGGATGGATAGAAAATGAAATGTTCCGGAGAGATTTGGGAACTATCGGTTCTACTAAGTGGAAGTATACAAGTTATTTATTTGTTTATAGCTATGGTGTTCCGCTCCTGTCTACGCGACCATTCATCTGCTGCCAAAGTTTTCTTTCCTACAGCAGCATTCACCTGAAACTCAACTCATCATGTTGTCTTGGGCATGATGTGATAGCGGTACGCATGTCGTTGTAGTACATTTCAGTATTCTTCACACTGCACACCCATATTTTGCCTATTTTTAGTTTTATTGAGCTGTAACTTTTTTTCCGCATGGTCAACGGTCTATTGACATGTGGGCACCCCAGCCTTGATTAATGAAACTGGCTCTAAGCAAAAGAGAAGGCGCTAAGACTGCATGATCACTGAGATGGAATTCGATCTATCTGCTTTGTTGTCAGTTGCGGACACCAGGAAACAGAAGTGTTAGTGCATGACTCATTGTAGGGTGCCTCACTCCACTGACGGTGCAATTGAATCTTTTTCAATGCATTGTAAAGTGTTTAAATGTAGGAAAGATTGGGCTATTTTATCAAGAGTTCGATTTCCAGTTCGCATCAACCAGCACAACACCTCGGGTTATACGCTGCTGCTTAGTATGACTATTCCAAAGATTTGTGTTTAGTGAGACACTCAAAAATTGATGACAGAAATTCCCAAGTTTGGGTTCATAAAAGCAGTAGTTGGCATCAAACCGTATATTTAAACACTAGATTTTCTTGTTTTGCGGGTGCAAAACTAAGCTGCTGAATTTACATAGTTGGATTTGCCTCTAATGAGTGTGGCGCGAAACTGTTATTACTCGTAGGCTGCTGCATATATATTTGCCATGTATAGCTCGCAGGTACTATTGGGTAGATGCAAAAAGGTCTTTTTCCCCCTCTGCGTTTGAAGCGATGGGTTGCTTTTTCCAGCACTGAACTCAGTGTCTACAACTAACCAGCTAGCTACAAAGATGTAGATTATCTTTTTTGCGCTTCATGAATTCAATTACATAGGTGCAGCAGTTGTTCAGAGTCCAACAAGAACGAATGCAACCCATTTACTGAAAATCTTATACCAATTTTGTCGTCGTTTCTATGGAAAAAACGCCATGGTGGATGCAGACACACGAACGTAATAGCCGCTAGTAGTAAATGCCGTTGTCATGTTTAATGTAGGTAAAGACAAAATGAAGAAACCGTCCCCTACTTAGGGGATAGCAAGTTGAACAGGTTGGCAACAGACGCCCGGGACGCCCACCTAGTCCGGCGGAAGTTAGTTGACTGCGATATTTAAGAAATGAGACGTCTACTTACAGTGCGAATAATCAGTGCAAGACCTATATTATGTGTGGGTATTTCAAAACGTCTGACTAAAAAACCGATGATCTTAAGTGGACCAAAGCGACTATATATATCTATATGCACGACTTGAAGCTGTCTGTTTCACCCGTTGTTTCGCATTTTCGCTCTCAGAGAAACTTATTTATGTGACCTTATCTGTGGTATTTGGCATGGCCATTTTTCTATGACTGTATCTAGCGATGTAAATTCGAATCAAATATTTCTTTGACAAAGTGGCAGCTTTCCTTGCTGTTCACTCTAACAGCCCAGTGTTACATGTCAGTGAGTATTTATACCAGAAACTTGCATCCAGATCCTCACAACCAGTGCAGATTTTCCTATTTGCATCTGGGACAGCTGGCGACATCCCCGAGTGTACACAAACAGTTTTCATTTCTTATGTGATGAAGCACTTGCTACTACGTTGTTAAGCTGTACATTCAAACACCTAGTTTATGCTATCCAACTGCAACAACAAGTAGTTACACGGCGTCAGCGTCTCACTGTAGGGAGTTTGTTTCTTAGCCGTAGCATTATCCTCCGTTGCACATACGTTTCATCTTTGTTTTTTCAACTTCCGAACTTTCATACAGGCGTATGCTAGACCTCTATGCTACCGTTGTACACATTCGGAGTCTACCGGGTGTTCCAACTCGACATGGAAAATTGGATTTTGTAATCGTTCGAGAGCAGCTTGAAGGAGAGTACTCGTCGCTGGAGCATGAATCGATACCAGGCGTTGTGGAGTCTCTGAAAATCACGACACGAAAGAATTGCGAGCGGATAGCGAAGTTTGCTTTCGACTATGCAGTGCGAAATGGCAGGACCACTGTTACAGCGGTTCACAAAGCTAATATAATGTAGGTATTTCAACTTGATTCTTTTTGCTTTGGTGCTTTCATAGCGATCGGAATCTTTGAATACTATCAGTGGGTGATAATGCTAATAACACCATTGTAGTACCATTGGTTGAAGTTCTCTCATATATCAACCGTATGACGGAGCGAATCTAAATTGGAACAAACTGATTTCATCACTGCGCACTTAGTGGCTGTCATTTTTGAAGTCTTAAGACAACGGATGATACGTATTCAAATCACTTACTTGTGCACACGACTTACCATCATCGATTTTGATTTTTATTGCTTTTCGATTACTGCGTGTCAAGTCCTTCTAGCCCCATCATGAAACTTTGGTTTTCTTAGCACTAACGATTGAGGTGCCTCTTCACTTGCGACTGCTCATTACACAATAACCACGGGACATGGATTGAGCATGTACAAAGTTGGGATTTGCCCCTTGTTATCTCACCTACGCACTTCTGCTATTCGATTTAAAACCTGCATACCGTGGAAGAGTTTTGCAGTCTGCCTCTTGTTCCATATTGATGAACCCGATAGCATCTGTTACACACTTTATAAAGCGTAATTCAATCGATTTTCATACATCGGCCTTCGGCGGCTGGCATTGTGCCCTTCGCTGTTTTACACAGGTTGTGTGATGAATGGAAATGCTCCTGTTACCTGACAGCCACATCTTTCATTTATTTCACACATGCTTTTTTACTACAGTAGGCAGATTTAAATCCCATTTACTTATGAGTGGAAGGATTTTGGTGAGTATTTTTGTTCGTCGCAATCAGCCGACAATTCAGATATGTCGATCAGCTATCCGGAAAAGCACCAGCCGGCCGTTTCGCCCTATTGGGGCTCATCAGTGGTGCGCATCCTTCGGTCCTCTGCGGAGGATCGAACCCATGACTGCTAGTGGCTCTTGCCAACTAGCCCGCAGCTTATGCAACTGCGCCATGGAGGACGGTATCCGACCATCACGAATTGTTAGCTAAATGCGATATATCCCGACCCATCCTCCACTACCATGCAGGCACCTGCCATGCAGATGACAGCGGTTGGCGTTCCGGCGTCAGGACTTCCCGGTTACGGCAGCCATGAATCGACATAGCATTTTGTGGAATCCGTAAGGGCGAATTCAGTCAAATTTCCTCAAGCTATTGCGTACACCACTCCATTATGTTAGATATTTTGCGTGTGTGCACCTGCATTGTTTCGAACCGTCAGTTTTGCTTCACTTGATCTTTTCCAACTACACTGCCTTTCCTATAGTTGACTAACAAGCAGCGCTTCTACGGACGCTTTTATCCTGCGTTCGCCTCCACTTATCCATCAACTGACCACTCCTTGGGTCCGTTTCCTTTCCCGCCCCCATTATCCACCTCACGTAGCATTGAATGCGTTACTTCAGCACACATTTTTGTGCACATCACAAACGCAGCAATCAACTCAGCCTGTACAATCATAACACACATTTGACGGCGCTATAGCTGATCGGTAGTTATTTGATAGAGATTAGGTGTTTTTAGCGTCAGTCCGTGGCATCCCCTGAGGTCGTGCAGTGTACCTTCATTCTTCTTTATATACGTTAACATCTTTTAAGTTGGTATCCCAATCATGGTGCATCATTCGTGTTTACGGGCGATATCAAAGGCATATGCAATAAAATTTGCACTCCAAAAACCAATCTAGCAATCACTGTACGAACAGCTTTTCCGATGAAAGCCAGCTTAGCGGCGTTTACGTTTGGTTCCGATGGGAGTTTACACGAAAATAATTATTAACCCAACACTCAATTGGTCTTGATTTAATCACTCACATTGGAATATTTGCTTTGCTGTAGGTCAGCATTACCCGTGATTCATTAAAGTTATTTAATGGTAACTGACCAACGCGTTCGCCGTGTTTTTGACGCCTGCCTGCCAGCGAACTTATCCTTGGCCTAGCTGTTCACACTGATTTTGTGTGTTCCCCTCCCCATGTTTGGGCACCATCACGGTATCATCAGACGTAAAAGTACCCGCAGTATATATATATATATATATATATATATATATGTATATATATATATATATAGTCCATAAGATAGACATGGAGCCAGCGAAAACCGTGAAACCGATGTAATATATACAGAGATTACGACGAAAAGTAAGAGTTACAAAAATGTTTATGTTTTTGAATCTTTTTTTCACACGCCGTTTTCTCTTTTTTGTCAGTTTAATGTTTGCGATCCTAATCAAGAAACTCAAGACAAACATTTGTACACATTTTCCATTTGGCCCAGTTCTGCGCCATCTCCGAAAGAGTTTCCGGCCAGCGGTGTTCTTCATCTTTGATCCTTCAGCCCGGAAGACACACAGGACCTACGACAGCTAGACTGGAAGTCGGCGCTTTATTCCTTCGTCACCACTTTATAGACTAACCACCGCTCTATTTTTTCCAGCTTGGTCCTGTACGAGCGAAGAGAGTGCGTCGGGGCAACCGTTCGCATGGCATGCGTAAAACGTGGCCCAGCCATCTCTTGGCGCAGTGGTACCAGTATGTCAAGTAGAAGTCCCGTGTTACCCAAGACGCGACGTCTAACCTTCTCGTTGCGCGCGTGGTTCATCTACCACACTCGAACTATTATCCGTAGACATCCATTGTCAAAGGTCGAAATCCGACGCAAGTCATTCACACGAAACGGCCAGGACTCACTCCCATACAGCAGCACCGCGCGAACACAGGCATTGTAGACCCTGCCTTTTACCATTAGTGAAACGTCACGGCGTCGCCACAGATGCCTCAAGTTGGCGAATGCCGAACGGGCTTTGGCAATGCAGAGGGAAATCTCTTTTCCAACTCTACCATCAGCAGATACAAAGCTTCCCAGGTAAACAAAGTTGTCCACTTGTTCAAGCTGCTTACCTTGAAGAGTGAGCACTGGGGCAGGCGGATGCCAATCCAGGACCATGAGTTTGCATTTTGTAGGGGCAAACGTCATCCCATGTTTTGATGTTTCGATCGTCAAGCGGTTTAGAACAGCTTGTGTGTTCTATGCGTTATCAACAAGCAAGGCAATATCATCAGCATAATCTAAATCGGTCACGCGGTTGTCAGAAAGAAGCTCTACACCAGAGCCCTGAAAGCACTAGAGTGTGTTTAAAAGGACATCCTCGATATCGAAATTGAATAGAAACGGGGACATGTGGCAACCCTGTCGTACACCGCTAGTGAATGGTAAAGGTGAAGAGAGCTTGCCATAAGCCCTCACTTTATCTGAGCCATTGCAATATAATGCTCGAAAAATGGCAATATACTTTTCGGGCACTCCATTCGTTTGTAAGCAGCGCCATAAACCTGACTGATCGACGGAGTCGAAAGCGGCTCGGATGTCCAAAAATGCAACCATAGTGGGCTGGCGGTAAAGATGACGCGTTTCAAGAAGTTGGTTGAGCCTAAACTAGTGGTCTATACACCCTCGACGGGGGCGTGAACCAGCCTGTTTTTCACGGGAGCTCAATTCTCGAATCGAGGTTAGTCTGCGGAGTAGAATTTATGTTAACAACTTGGAGGCAACGGACATTAGATTGATTCCTCGTTGGTTAGCGCATAGGGTATGGCCACGTTTCTTGAAGATCGGGACGCTAATTGACTCGCCCTAAGCGGATGGAACTGTTTTTTCACACCAGATCTTAGAGAACAGAGCTGTTAGCTGGTTCACAATTACTTTGCCCCCGAACTTGAACAGCTCTGGAGTAAGTCCGTCTGGGCCAGCAGACTTGAATCACTGCAAGTGTTGGAGCTCAAGGCACATCTCAGCTTCAGTGGGTGGTTCCAATGAGAAGTTCCAAGACGCGCAACTAGGTCTACTCAATAGGCTCGCCGGCGGAGGAGGCCAGTTGAATTGAGTGCGGAAGTGTTCAGCCCAGCGGTCTATGCGCCTGTGTAAGTTGCTTATCGGCGTTCCGTCAACCTCGCAAATGACCTCACTGACACCAGGTCTTTTGTGACCAGTTGCCCCAATGACCTGGAAGAGCTTGCGAAAGTTTCCAGCGAGGGTTGCCGTTTCCATCCCTGAGGCGCCCTGGGACCACCAAGTTTCGCGTTCAGCACGCACGCTTTGCTTAAGTTGTTGGCTGAGAATGCGACGCAGTGCACTGCTATTTGAATCGGTCGGGATAGCTCTACGATGATCAAGCAATTCCAGTGAGTGTGCGGAAATCCGGCGCCTTGTGATTCTGCAGATTGAATGACTGGAAGTTAGCATTGCTTCACGCAGGAAACTCCAATGATTTTCGATGTCTCTAGGTGGAGCACCAATAGATGCGTGCAATAAGGAAGCTTGATAACTTGATCGAGTTGAGAGGTCAGTTAACTTATTGGTGTCGAACGTAGGGAGCTTTCGTTTTGAGAAGCCGCCGAAGCGCATGCAGATGTCCGCGCAGACCAAAGCATGATCTGAATCGACGTACGTAGACCAAATCGATCTACAAGCCCGGATGCTGCCTCGCCATTTAAAGCTGATTGCAATGTGATCTAGTTCAGACCACGCTTGCGTGGGTGAAGGAGGACGACAGGTGGCTGTGCGCCTTCTGGTATGCCTAAAGTTCGTACTTGACAGAAAGAGATGGTGGTCTTCGCATAACGTATGAAGTTTATCACCGTTGTCAGAACGGCTCTCATGAAGCGCGTGACTACCACCCAGATGACGTTCGCACGGAAGCAAGCGACTTACTCGTGCATTGAGATCTCCGGCAAGGACGATGACGTGTGACTTTTCGGCCTTGTTCTAAAGGTTGTGGAGTCCTCGATAAAAATCCTCCCTAACCGATGCACAGCTGAAGTCGGTTGGAGCGTAGGCAGAAACGACAAACAAATTGTGCCTCTCTTCACGATGTCTGTTGATTATACATGAGCCTTGAATCTGACCTGCACACAGCCGGCTGTCGATTGGAATCCAGTCGAGGGATGCAGCCTCCGCTTTGTAAGTCAATGCGATACCGACACCAGCTAAGCCGGCTGCTGCT